TTCGATATGGTTTTTCCAAGTTAGATTTTCATCAATGAAAACACCAAGGAAATGTATAACTTTTGATTTTTTTATTTGAATATTGTCAATATATATTTGAGGCATATCATTTGGTACAAGTTTTTTATTTGGGATTTTGAATGAAATAAAGCCCATTTAGTTTTTTCCAAGTTAATTGATAGTTTATTTGACTTAAACCAATTTGAAATTTTAATTAGTTCTATGTTGATTTCATTAAATAGTGTAATGATATTTTTACCAGATAGAATATATTGTTAAACTATAATGTTCATTTCCCCTAAAAAACGTATTAATATAAAATTTTATTTAAATTTGGACGAGCGATTGTGATTTTAAGATGATTTTTTTTAAAAAAAAGATTCTACGGTCTGGGTTTTTTCGCTACAAACATTTATATTTTATGATACCGCAGAATTTATTATTTTAATTTTTTTCGTCTTTTCATAATTTACAGACCAGACCATTACACGGAAATATGTCATAGTAGTAATAGTAGTAATATTTATTGCTGTAACAATTACATATTTGTTTAAATATAAATATTTAAAAATAAAATAAATTGTGGAACGCGATGCAAGCATCGGGTTATAGACAGCCCACACAAATTAAAAAAACACAAGTTATGAAAAATGTTTATCTATTCGCGCTTTGAAAACATTCAACGATGTTGCATTAATGATTTCATTTGGTAACAAATTCCAATTTTTACAAACTCGATTGGTAAAAAAATTATATCTCGGTAAACATGATGGTACGTATTCTCTTTCTAGCCTGTATTTATTGTCCCTTACAGAAAAAGCCGGGCCTGATCTAGTCACGGATGATGCTGGTTTTGGATTTTTGTACCAATTTATTTGGTCTATATTTTGCTTGAATCTGTATTGTTGTATAAGATCTCCTCTAGCTCGTCTTTTCTCTAATGTTGTTAAACCCATTGCTTTCAGTCTTTTTTCATATGAAATCTTTTTAAGTTGTGGAACTAACTTCGTTGCTCTTCTTTGCACTTTCTCTAACTCATCAATATCCCGTTGTAAATAAGGCTGCCATGCAGGTATAGCGAACTCAAGAATCAAAACTCATAATCAACAAAATATCATATAGACGCTATAATATTTTAAAAGTGCCTTAACTACATCGAGTACCGTTTTTTTTTTTATTGGTTAAAAAATATCTCGTGTCATAATAAAATAACTAAATAAACTAGTTTTTAATTCTCACTGCTATAATATAATGTGTAGAGTCATAGTGCATTACGTGGGCGCTCCAAGTACAAATCCCACTAAAGGTAAACTTATCAAATTATTAATTTTTTTTCTATGTTTATAAAATTTTCAATGTTTTTTATGTTTTATTATATTTATCAGTCTATTTATTTAATGGAAAATCCTATTTGATTTTTTACATTTTTTTCATTTTTGTTTTTTAAAATCTAATGTTAAGTTTTCTTTATTTTACGGTATAACAAAGTTTATTTTGATAAGTGATATTATCAACCAATAAAAAAAACTTCCGGTAGGATAACTTTTATTTTTCCGCTACCGACTTTCGGTAGGCTATCCACGGCGTTTTAAATATATTTAAAAAATCTAAATCCGGCTATTTTACACTCTAAAAAATACGATATCTTCAACATAATATAAATATTCTATTTATAAAAATACGATATCTACAACATAATATAAATATTCTATTTATAAACAATAGCTAAAAATATATATTGCATATTATTTATAGTACAAATAGCTAAAGAAAAAATCCAAATATATAATCAATCTGTTTATAAAATCTTTAAAAAGAGCCCTCAAAAAAGCGGCTCTTAATAGGACGCGGCCACTAATAGGTCAGTTTGCCCTAAAGTAAATATAAGATAATTTATAAAAAAAAGTTTTTCTGTTTAAATTAAATGACTATAAACAGGGCCGACGACACGGGTTTCAAAAAAGCGGAGAGGCACAGATATCAATTTTTTAAAAAAGTCCTCTATATCTAGAATTTAAAAAATAAATAAATAAATAAAAAGGTTCTTTAGAAAAAAAGTTAGGGTACGTGCCCCTCTCCTCGCCCCCTCCCCGGTGTCGTCGGCCCTGATAAAGCAATCATTTTGTAGGTAACTTCAGAAGTAAATATTTCCAATGAAAGTCTGATAAAAGATATTGAAACTCTTGATATAAACTAATTTTATGCTTTTTTGTTAAATGGTCTAGATTAATTAATAATGCTAATTTAGTTCAATAACTTCTAAAAGATACAGACAAAATCTATTAAAACCCGTAAGTACTTAATTTCGTCTTAATTTAGACTTTAGTTTATATTAACAACATGCTGAAAACTTTTCAAGAAAATTGGACCTCGGTACTGAATACAATAAAAACATAACTTTAGATTATATTTTCGAATAATAAAACTATTTTGTGAAAACTTGGTAGGGTATTTATGGCTTACTTCTCTAAAATAAAGATAAAATATCGTTGGACACAGTCTAGCTTTATTTTTGACGCGAACTGTATGAATAGAACTTATTGCTTTTGAACATATTTATGTATGCATTAAGTTAAGTAGAAGTGGCTCGCAAGGTACTTGTTGCACAAGATGATTCTACAAGCATGTTTTTGTTTAGATTAATTTTTTTTTAACTTTGCGTGGCTCGTACTTGCCCATACAATACTGCCGTAAGTTGAATAGCTATTTATAAAGGAAAAATATAAACATTTTAAAGATTTTATGTCTAAAAATGGTTTAGCTTTATACATCATTGCAATGTTTATTGAAAGTTTTTTTTCAAGAGTGCTTATATGATTTTTCCTTGATAAATTTTCGTCTAAAATAATTCCTACAAAGTTTACAGATATTTGTCTAGTAATATTTATATCATTAATTTTATGATCAGGTAATTTTAAAGGAAGGTTTCCTGTTTAAGTTGGTTTGTAAAATGGAATATATTTAGGTTTGTTAATGTTTAGTAAGAATCTATTACATATAAACCAATCGTTTACGTTGTTTACTTCTTCATTTACTACATTATAGAGGGTTTTAATATCCCTATGAGAATAAAACAGATCGGATTTATCTGCAAACAAAATAAAGTTTAATAAGTTTGAGGTAAGAGATAAATCATTTCTATAAAGAGAAAACAGCAAGGGTCCTAAGATTGAACCTATATATCTATATCATCTACATACCATCTACATATGTTATTCTACATTTGCATCATCTACATATCATCTACATACCATCTACATATGTTGTTATACTTTTTATCGTTTTAACATTTTCATATTGAATGTATTGGTGTTTGTTTAATAAATAGCAGGGTAAAGTGGTCTAAAATGGCCCCCTATGATTAGATGGGCCCCTATCAAATCTTTTGCTTGGACAATAATTATTACAAGTTTAACAGTAAACTATTGTTCAGCTGCCTATAAATATTTGAGAAAATCATCTAAAAAATATACTTTTTTTTCATTGTTAATTGTTGGCAAAAAGAAAATTTGAAAGTACTACTTTTTAAATTAGATTGATCTAAATTTTTTTGTAGTTTGACTGTAATTGAAGTTATTGTCCATATTTTTTAACTCAGAGTGTCAAGGTTGTGTATCATCTACAAATCAGTTATAGTCAATTTTTGATTAATAATCAGGTTTTATTCAGAAATTAAATTAAGGAGCTCATTTTAGGCTACTTCCACGGAAAATGGGGTCCTAGCCTTATTTTGTTTAACTGCTGTTTCTTAACGTAAGTTATAGTTACACCTTTAATATTCAGATGCTAAGTTGTAGAGCATAAATTGAATTTCCTGAAAAAAACTTTGTTTGTAATTTTTGGTTGGCTACTGCTAATGGATTCTATCATTTTTGAAAAGGGACCCGTTTTAGGTCACTCTTCCCTAATATACTGTCTTTTATTCCGCAATGTTTAAGTTTTTTTCAAAAGAATGACATGGTTGACTGCGTCGAAAGCTTCAAGCAGATCGATGAAGTTGCTTCTTAACAATTTTTTTTTAACTCTATTTCTTTTCAATTATGTTATAATTGGAAGGAAACAGATTTTGTCACAAAACAGCTGCACTGCTACTGTGATAAAGAAACTTTGGAAAAAAAAGATACAAGATTCCATTTTTGCTTAAGCCAGCAATAACAGAATTAGTCAGAAACGACGCAAAATGTTTTGTTTTTAGGTGCTCAAAGGTTACTAATACGAAAAAAAATCGATGTGTAACAATACTAGTTACATCCGAAAAAATCGATGTGTAACTACATCCGGTTAAAATAATGAATTACTAAAAAAAAAAAAAAATTCTGGATGTAGTTACATATATAAGTTACATATATAATTTTTATATTATATAAGTGCTGCTACATCGACTGACAAATAGCCTGACTCGCAACGGAGTGCTGTTACATCGACTGAGGATTTGGTTTGGGCAGGCAGTCTATCAAATAATTAAAAAAAAAATGATAAAATTTTTTTTTAATAAGCTTAAAATAACGCATTATAATAATTTATTTTTTGGCGGTTTGACAAATGGTATTATACATTGATGAAATTTCAGATGTTGTTGGACAGATGTTATTAGACATAGCAAAAACAGATGTTGTTACCCTGACCCAGGGTTTTCATGTATGAACTAAAGACCATTTATATTAGATATCTGAAGCACTTACTGTCACTTTTTTCTTTTTAACTTTGAATTTCATCAAACTTGAAACAATGTTTTTAAAGAAAAAATATTATGATTTGTACTTATTTTAACGTATTTAATAAAAAATTTATGAAAGGTTATTTTGCGTCAACAAGGTAATTGTAATGCAAGGTAATTGTAATTTAAGTACCTAATAAAATTGTTTAAAATAAAACTGAAATAATAACATTAGTCTTAATTTTATATTCCTAAAATATATTTAACTACCAATTTCTTTATTGCCAGAATTTATGATTTTAGTTATCAGGTGTTAAAAAGTAATAAGGTTAATAAGCTTTTATTAATTTTCATATCAAAATTATATATTTCGTTTGAAACGATTGATACATCTGAATGGGCGACAATGACGTAAAAAACGTGACACAAAACACAGATTCCACTGACAAATACATAACAAAACAGTCACAACATACAGACATTTAACGCAATAGTCTTTGGAGTTATAGGACGATAAGTAAATAAACAACTCTCGAAATTATTTATGATTAACAAGGAATCTTTCCATATTTAGCATGTACTTTTGCAAGATCTACACCTTTATGACCACGGACGTGTTTGTAACGGCATTGATTCTCAAAAACACACCCAGTAGTACGCCAGAAGTAGCACTCATTTCCATTTACAGGTCCGCTAAGTTTACTTGAGTCGTTGCTAGATTCACTTATTGAAGACCTATATAATGAAATCAAAATATATATATATATATATATATATATATATATATATATATATATATATATATATATATATATATATATATATATATATATATATTAAACCAATTGAATAAATATTTACATCTTTTCACTTTTAAAAACAAAATATCTTTAATCATAGCATCAACGCGCATGTGAGTGCGCACAAGCTTCTTAAGTACAAAAAAAAGATTAAATCTTTTTTACAATTTTTGATATCACTCCATGTTTTTCTGAACGAGTTGAGAAAAACATCATAGGACAATATTTTAAAATTCAATTATATTAGATATTATAGAAATATTAAAGTGGTACACTACTAAAAAGCACTTTTTTAATAAAAAACTGGAATAAAGCAAAAAGTAATATTTTTCTGATGCGAAATATATAAAATAACTAAAATAAAACTTTTTTCCCAATTTTTTTATTTTTACATCTATAATGGCGGAAAAAGCTGTCTAAAAAGCACATTAGTAGCGTAATATCTTTGTATAAAACTGTCTAAAAAATAACTTTGTGACGTAACATCTTCCCTTTTAAATTTTCTTTCCTTCAAACTTTGTAGATTGATGCATTATAATGCTTTATTCCGGTTGACAGATAGATTTTTAATTCAAAGACTTATTTTAAATTTTATCACAAACTATTGGAATTATGCTTGAAAGTGATGTGACTGATAATGTGAAATGACTTTTTTATTAAAAAAAAATTTAACAGGAATTTGTAAAGTAGTATACTAAATATAAACTGAAAATTTCAGTTAAAACCATTGTAAAAATATGACGTTTCAAAGTTACAAAGTATTACAGTTAGTATTACAAAGGTTCCTCGGGGTTCATGGCAGTTTTAGAAATCTATTTTCCCTGATTATTCCTTGATTTTCACCTGATTTCGAGTACTTTTTCCCTGATTTCAGGTGGTAAAAAGTATATAATTTTCCTTTTTAATGTTGAAGGATATAATACTTTTGCAACTGAATCCATGTTCCCCTAATATTTTTTTCCGAATTTTTAAAGAAATTAGATACTTCTAATTAATTGAAATCTGTAAAAAGAAGATTTTTAAGTAACAAAAAGTAGTTTAGAAACAAAAAGCCATAAAAGTCAAATAAATATAAAAAATATATTTAAAAAATAACAATTTGAATCTACCATGTAATCTTTCTATGCAATTTATTGATAATTAAACCTTACTCCTTTTTTATTCTTCTATTAGAAACATAAAATAATTTTTTTTTTTTTAATATTTTGAACAAAGTAATGTGTTTTAACAAAATATGAATTTTATATAAGATCTATTCTATAAATTATTTTAGTAACTTTCTCTTTTGATCTAAGATACTAACTCTTATTTTTTAATTTCTTCATTTTTCTCATTTGTTTTTCATTTCATTATATTATGTTATTTTTATAAAGTTTTAACCCTCTCAGTTTGAGGGGTTTACAATAAAATAATGAAATTTATGATTTATAGCTTTATCAGAAAAGACTGGTGAAAGATACTTTAACCTAACCAAGTTGGTCAATAAAGATTTGACTTGTTCTCAGTATTTTCTGTAGTCATTATTCTTAATGCATTAGGGTTAAAAACCTGAGAATTGAGTACAATGTAGATTCTTATGAAGTTCACTCCATGAACTTTTCAATTATCTTTTTGGAAATTTCGGATATCAGAAATTGTTATTGAATCTTTCTTTTGCAAATAAGGTAATCTTGTTTCAGCTGCAAACCCTAGTTTGATTTGAGTTCCTTTAAGTAGATAATCTTTTTCATGAAAATCAACTTCTGGTATAGACCAATTATCAATAACTTTGATTCACAAACAAGCAAAGTATGGTAGCAACAGTCTTTCTAAGTCACTATACATGAATGGAATGATTGGCTTGTCAGTTTGGTACGCCAATAAATATGGCTCTAATATGCTGGCAACAAAGCTGGATACTTCAAATTTAAAAAAAACAAGTTTGTCTTTAACAGCTTTTTTGACAATTAAAAAGCTTTTTTATTTGGATTACTTTGAAGATGGTAACTTATCCCTTTAAAAACTCAACTAACTTGCATATATTAGGCCAGATTTTAATGCCATAATCTGCAACAGATTTGTTTTTAACCCATCTTGTTGCACAAAATAAAAAGAGGGTATTTTGTTGCGTTTCATATTCTTGATGCCTAGCCGGGCTGTCATGAAGAATTTGCCAACACTCATTCAGAGTTTCTTTAATATCCAATGTGGTTGATTCAATAGCTGTTTTAAAGGCACCATTATTATGAATTACATGCAAAGAGCAACTTCCAATATTTATATGTTGTGGCATCTCGTTGTTGTTTTTGTGTTTATTTAGATCATCTAGAAATTTTTAATTTGTAGAGTCCATCTGTGGAAACTTGAAAGATTTACTTGAATCAAATCTTGATAAGTTTTTATTAAAATGAGTAAGAAGGTCAGAAGCTGTAGAATGACCAAAAAAACCAAAAATGTACAATATCATATTTTAGCTTTGATTGACATCTCAATATTGAACAAGTAGATCTGACATGTTTGAATTATGTCATTCAAACTCTTGTTAAAAGATGTGATGTAACAATCTGATTTTGTGATTTCTGCTTTTAAGAGTGTCTTGAAGAATGGCGCTAGTCCATGGTTAACAACGTATGATACTTTTGAGGAACTCATAGTGAAACCTTCTGCTACCTTACTGTCAGGAAACATCTTTTTAAAAGAGTTGTTTAAATTTGAACATGAATTATTAGAGTAGTAGAATTATTATTTAGATTTCAGTGCTCATATGATCTCAGCATTAGTTGATAAAGATGTTTTAATTGTGAAATCAATAGTTGTTTGTCTTTTGGTGGAAAATGTCGTATTTTTTTCTTCACATCTAAGCGGCTCAACTCACAACTTTTTTCTATTAACAAAGAAACTAACAGGATTGCAGCAGATTGATGCTTTTTACCTAAAAATCTTTATAAATATGGTGTTGTACCTAAACTTCTTGAAAATAGGTCTTCTCTGAAGTCATATCTTATGTTATTATATTTAATTAAATATTAATCTAAACATATGATCACTATATTTTATAAAAGTTATAAAACCACTGTTGTGAGCAACTTTCAATAAAAATAAAAACTAAACATTAGTATGTTAAAAACATTTCAATACGAGATGGTTGTATCAAATAAAAGAGTATAAAATTAAAAAAAAAAAAAGTCAGAAAAGTCTGATTTTTGACATTTTACTCCAAAACCAGTTTTTTTATTAGTGCACCACCTTGAAAATATGAACAGCATATGAATTATTTCCTGACTACCTAACATAAGAATTAGTTCCTGCATGGCCTACTTTATTTATAAGGCTAGATATTTTGCATTTTGAAAAAAAAAATAAAAAGCCAGTTTTTAAAATTGTAATGTTTTAAAAACTTATTAGGTTTTGAATATTTGCAAAATTATTTTACTTTTTAAAGTCTACAAAATAGTATATTTTCATAAATATAGATATTAAACAAACATTAAATAAAAAGTAAATAAATAAGAGTTTTTATTTTAAAATTTAGAATTTAAGTAAACAAAATTTAAGAAACAAGAACAGTTATACAACATATTTGAATCTTTTTTTTTTTTCATTAAAATATAAAATAATTATATATAATTTATTAGGATTTCTCAAATTTTTTCTTTCAAATAATTTTACATGATCAACAGCTACTTCGCTGGTAGAGATAGTTCTATTATTGTTAAGAAAAATGTTGATAACAATTCTTCCAGCAAGTTTTATCCCAGTTTTCTTGGGACATGCTTGGGACATGCTTGGGACATGCATGGGACAAGAAAAAATCTGAAAAGAGTCATAAAAGTGATTTAACAAATATTTTAAAGCTTGTCATGCATGTAAATTAAATTTCTTTGGTTTGTTATAAGAGTAGTCAATCATAACAAAGGATGTGCAGACATAATCCAAAAGAGATGGTGAAGGAATAGTGACACCACGCCTAAATATTATTGTTAAATAAGTATAACCAGAATTGCATTCATCAATATTGACACAACATAAAAATTCTTTACAACATGTACCAAAAGATTTTTTTAGTTTCTTTGCTATATATCCAGCAATATGGGTGCATACTTCCCTACTTTCTGGTACAAGTATCATGATTTCTGGAGTGCACTAAGCTTTATCGATATCAAGAAGAAAGTTTTTCAAATCTGTTAAATAACTTCTGACTCAAGAGGCATTTTTAAACTATCATTAAAGTTAATACTTTCTTTAACTATACTTTTGATTTTTCATATTTTTTCAGACATCAAACCAACCAAAAATCTTCCACCACTTATTTGTCTATATTGTCCAAATTATCTTTCTTATGGGTCACATTAAAATCTTCCAGTTAAAACAAAAAGACAAGTAAGTGCTCAATCAATGAGGCATGACTATTAAGTATTCTTATTAGTGTTGCAGCTGTTTGAGCACTTAAAATAAACTTCTCACAGTTTAGTATCCTTTGTTATTGCCAAGCTTCAATCCAATGTACCATTTCCTTAAGAAATTTAGGTTTTTTATCTCTAGAAATGACTGTATTACCTAAAATATTACATGTTGAATACTGACAATTAGAATTTGTTAAATATTGTAAGAAAATCTGCACTACTTTTAAGATCAGGACAATATGAGTGAATTGCTGCAGATGTTTCATCAAAAACTTAAAGTGCTAAAGAAACATTTTGTTTAAAATTGCAAAGAAGGAATACTTTCATTGTTATTTTTGGTGCTTTGTGCAAACCAGCATCAAGAGCAGTGTCTATTTCATAAATATTGTTGAAGGTGCTCTATTTAATTTCTCCCCGGGGAGAAATGCAAATTACAGGATCTTTAAATCCATTAAACTGAAAATATTTAAATTTTTTTATTTGGTGATTTTCTTAATAAATAAGAAGATTTTATAAGATGAATGATATGATGAACTTTCTTCAGTTAAATTTGTGCAATAAAAAATAGATAAAAAATAGTTTGATGCATATAACAGAAGAATTACTAGGTGCCAATCATTTCTATTTACAAATTTAATCCAATTTTTTTTGAACTTTTCATTTTTTGGAAACAAAAATACTACTGTAGATATTTCACCATAATTATGACAATTCACAACTAAACTTTTGTTAACCATTTTTTTGAACTTCCAAAGCTGCTTGTTTAAGAACACTTTACAAGAAAATTGGTCTTCTTTTTTTTTCTTCAAAATATAAAATATCTGACCATATAAATAAAGTAGGCCGTGGTTCTTGACTACCTAACATAAGAATTAGTTCCTGAATAACTAACAGGCAGAATACCTGTTTTTCTTCATTTTCTTCATCTTTTATCATTTAATCTTTTAGGTGACAAATATACTATATATGTTACATTATGCAATAATGCATATAAAATACGTTTAATGTAATAGGAAACTTGAAGATATCAATAAAAAAATAAAGATGTATTATTTTTATGCCAAAAAATAAAAATCGTAAAAAACAGGGTTTACTTAAGTTATTATGTTTTCATAATTAAAAGGTGTTAATCAGCTTCACTTCATAATTTTTTTTTTTAAAGTTTTATAAAATATACTTACGGTTTATTTTTTGTCTGAGGTGTTGCTGAATTTTCTGGAACATATGAACCTGGTGGCGGATTATTAGGAAAACGTAGTAACAATTTTTGATTACCAAGCCCAACACCCTAAACATAAAATGAAAAACAAATTACTAACTTTTATATACTATGGTTTTTATAAACCAAAACTAATAAACTTTTTATTTTTATAAAAGCTGAGAATTGATAAACATAAGAATACAAATGGAAACAGTTGCATTTTCTTAACATTATTACTTTAAAGTTAACTCTACAACAACTTTTTTTTCCTGAATTAAGCTAATGGCAATTAAAAAATGAGAATCAATTTCTAATATTAAAAATTACATTATTAATATTAAAAACTAATGTTCACTACATTTATTGTATCAATTTATTTGTTATAACCAATTATATAGATATAAATGTTAACAGATTTTAAAACATGTGTCTATGGAGGTTATCAGTTTTAAAATCAAATACACACTTGTAGCTTTTCCATAGCAGTAGCAGCATCGGCTGGGTCTATAAAATTTACAAAAGCACAATATTTATGAGGGAGTATTCTGACACTAGACACTTTACCACATTTACTGAACAGCTGATTCATTTGCTTTTCTGTTACCATTTCTGGATCTACATTTCCCACCCATATAGCATTACAGCGAGGCTCAGTATTCCTGTAAAAAAAAAAAATACAAATAACTTGTTAATATTAACAATTTTATTTTTTTACTTAATGAAAAAGTCAGTGCATAATCCTTATTGCATTTATTTCCATTAAAATTTTTTTAAACACACATTTGTAATATAAAAAAAAATTATTTTTGGTATTATATTTGTATAAATAAGGTATTATTACTATCATTTTAATTTTTTTTTTTTTTGAAAAAGTTTAAAATATAAAAGTAAAACTGGAGCAAATCAATCAAAAAGGTGCCTTTTTTAATTACTTAATATTAATTTTCTTAATTTTCACATTAAATTTTGTTAATTAATGAGTTTTAATGATTACAAATTAAATGATATATAAGTAAGTCCTTTATTACTACATATAATTTGTATGAGCACTGATTTTAAGCACTGGCGTTACTTGGCATAAAATTTCATTAAATCACACTCAATTTTTCCATAAAAATCAACTCATAATAAATTGCCCAGCAATTCACTCTATAAAAAGGACAGCATCGCAATTACCTAACTAAATAGCGCATTTGTAACTAAGTGCCCCTGACTTCCATCCAAATATAGAAATTTACTTTACCAAAACTAATCAAATTGCAGTAATGCTAGTGCTTAAATTGTATACAGATATAATAAAACTTTGTGGTGTTAGTTTTGTTTCTGTTCCATTAATTTTTAAATATCAGTCTTTATAATAGTATACAGTGCTCAAAATGAGGCAGGATGCGGTGGGATGCCAACCTGAGAAAAAGAAAAAAAAAAAAAGAAAGATGAAAAAATAATTATAATAATTACAGTTTAAAAATAGTAACTGCACAAGAAGTTGAAAACCATTGAGGTAAAGAAAGACTTGACTTGAAACTGATGGGAAAAAAGAAAAACTTCCATGACCGCTTGAATCTAGGAGAGTATAAAGGAAGTGTAACATTCAGCAAAGACAAAAAACATTAGCCAAAAGACCATATTAAAGAAAATCATAAATAGAAATCAGCATTAAAGAAATAAGAAGTGCAATGAGGAGAACTAAGAGATAAACAATTTAGGAGAACTTTAGGAGAAATTTAGGAGATAAACATTTTATTAAAGCATGATTTGAACCACATAAAGGAATATAAAACTTGAGCACAAACTAGGGTCAAAGTCTGGAAAAAAAGACACAAAGTTTACTATCTAAGTAAGAGATTAAGAAAACAATAATTTTAAACATAACCAGCAAGGTCAGTTAAATTAGAGCCAAGCTATTTAGTGTGATGAACATTAAATTCATCAATAACAAAATTGGCTGATAGATAAGAAGAAAGACCTTAACTTATTTGACCAATAAAAACACGGAGAAGAGTGCAGTCTTGTGAACGAGAGTTGGAGTCTCTGCAAACCATAAGATAATAGCCATCAATGGATCCAAAGATGAAGCAGCTAAATTAAAATTATTCTCACAGTTTTATCTGGACCTTTTGCAAATATTTACAGATATATTTATGAATGATTTTTAATGTCATATTAAAAATCATTCATAAATATAGAGATAAATATAAGATAAATATATCATTCATAAATATAAGATAAATATAGAATGAAAAAGAAAATATAAGATAAATAAATCATTCATAAATATAAGATAAATATAGAATGATTTTTAATGTCATTAAAATTAAAGAAATCCCTCAATATTAATAAAGAATCATTTTAAAGAATATTTTGCTGTAAAAATAAAAGAATTTGCAGTTCATATATTGTGTAATTTAATCAATGAATGATTGGTGGAAACTAACTTATACATTCAGCCATTCAGCTTGAATAAGATAATCTTAATTATTTTTTAAAAAAAAACATTTAATGAAATGCATTTACTTTATAAAATATTTGTCTGCTTCCATAAAGTATTCAAATATTGATAATGTTTACTTTCATAAACATTCCATAATGTAAAATTGATAATGGCTTTTATTAAACACACATTTTATTAAAGCTGTTAAGTGTGTTACCTAGTAATGCGCTCAAACTTAAGGAGGTAGTGGTGTAAAGATTGATCAAACTTAGTTCATTCTCCACCATATTCCTGGTAGTACAGCGCTGAACTTATTTTTTTTTGTGAAGCAATCTTTTTCTTTAATGCCTTAATATTTTATCATCAAAAGGTTGAGAGGATAGTAAAAATAGTATTGAAAACTGGTTGATTATACAATTTAACACAGTAATTATTTTAAACAACTATATTATATGATTTCCCTCTATTTTGTTTTTCTTATGTTGATAATTCAACTACCTTCATACCTTCATGTGCTTGAATTTTAAAGCAGGGATCATCCTTTTGTCAATTCTTTTCAAAGTTAATTTTTATAAAAGTTAACAGAGAAAATAATTCTTTAGAAAAAAGATAACTTTAGTTTGGTCATTTATTTAACTTTTATCATAATACTAATACATTTTCACTTTTGAATATTTTTAAAATTGCTTGTGGCTAGGATTTTCCAATTCACCTTTAGCTAAGTCAATATATAAGAATACAGAAGGAAATATTCTATATAATATAAGAAATATCCTATATAATATATACAAGAATAAGTTAATATATAAAAATAAATGGCAGATAGAAAAATAAAAATAAAATAGTTTTTTAATAATTTTTTACTGCTCTGTTCTTAAAAAAAAATGAATTTTTATAGAATATTAGTTTGTTATATAAAAATATGTTTAAACACTGTTTCAGACTTTCAGGCTGCTATGAAATTATTATTCAAACTTTGCTGTCTTCCTAAAAATTTCATTTAAAATTTTTGCACATATCACTGTTTAAAAAATTAAAATTGTTCAGCACTGCGTCTTTCGCTCATTGGTTACTACATGTAATGTTTTAAAAACACAAACAATATTTAAAATAAAATTAAAAAAACACTAGTATTAAAAATACCTAATACTAGTTTTTTGTTGACTTTTTAAGTTGTTAATGTTGTTTTGTATAACTTGAGAATAATTGTCTTCTTTTTTGTCAACAAAATCAACATCCTGTTCTACTTCATCTGTTTCCTCATCTGACAGGTATAAGTCATCTTCATCACTTACTACATGAAAGAAATTGTGAACAAAATGATGCTAATCATAACTGAAAAAATGCAATTATTACTTTTAAACAATGTAGTTATTAAAAAAAAATGATGTCATAGTCATTTTTTTTCTTCTTCACTTTTGGTATTTCCAGAAATGGAAGATACCAATACAAGTTAAATGAAAAACTAAATCCAGAACTCTCTGGATTGAAAATTGCAAACAAAACTATTTAAAGAAAATTATACATTACTTAGATATTTTTAAAAACATTTTTAGAATAATTAAACAGTAGAACTATTATATATTTAATTTATTAAAAAATTAATTTTAACACTCTTAACATTAGACAAAATACTTAGGTCATTAGGAAAGTTTTTTTAATTTTATTTTATTAAATGTTCAAAATAATGTCCATCATTGTCTATACAAAGTTTTATCATTTCAAGCCATTTGTGATACGTTTTATTATACTCTTCTTTGGGTATACTTACAAGCAGCTTCGTTATGCAGGTTTTTTTGGCTTTTGATGTCAGTATCGTCATCAAGATTTTTTTTTATCAAGTCGAATAGCCAATAATCAGATGGAGCTAAGTCTGGTGAGTATGGTGGGTGGTGAATTATTGTAATTCCAGCTTGGCTTAGACAATTTGTAACGGTTTGAGTTACATAGGGTCAAAGGTTATCATGGAGAAATTTGAAATTGTGAGTGCCTGTTTTAGGTCTTTGCTTATTTATTTTGCATATAAGAGGTTTCAAACGAGTTTTTATATAATATTCGCTAGTAATGGTGTCTCCCTTTTCAACATAACCTAAATGAAAAACATCTGTTGTTTTGAAGAAGATGTAGAACATCCTTTTTGCCTAAAACCTATTGCATCTTACTGTAATTCTTAGACTTTCACCTTCACCGACCTAACTAGCATTAGCTAACTTGTATCCAACTTGTCTCAAATAAAACCATGACTCGTCCCCTGTAACAATATCACATAACCTCCATGGGCCGTTTCTGAAAAGGGCTAAATTTTCTTTACATGCTTTAACTCTATTCTTTTGATTTTGATCGGTTAACTCGTGGGGTATCCAATGTGATGTTAGTTTTCTTTTTTTTAAGTGCGTTGTGAATGATTTCGTTGATTGTAAAACGCTTAATCGATGTCAGGGCTTCAATTATATCATGTGTTGCATGCGGATTTTCTTTAATAATGGCTCGCACATGTTCAATATTCTCAGCTGTATATGTGGTTTGAGGTTGCCCTGAGCGAGGATCATCTTAAAGACTCTCTCTACCATCTTTAAATAAAGTAACCCACTTGGCAACTGTATATTTTGGAGCTTGGTCACCATGAACTAAAACCAATTCATCAGTTATGACTTGTGCTAAAACTCCAAGTAGAACACAGGTTTCAATATATGCTCGATATTCAAGTTTTTCCATTTTTAAATTTTTTCTTTCAAATGTATATAATAAAATTTAAATAACTTTTTTAATAAACATTCAAAATATTTCAACAAGTTGTTCATAATTAAACACAGTTAAAGATGATATATAAATATTTAATTATTTCCTGTCTTATTGTAAGTTTATAGATGAAGTTCTATGAACTTCTCTAACCACCTAAATAACTATGAACATAAATTATTATTTATGTTATATTATTGATTGAAATTCAAGAAAAAAAATATTTGTGATATTACCCAGTCTAGTAACAGAAGAATAAAATTAGTCTAGATAAACAATTTAAGCTTTAAACTTTATTTTAAACTTTTTTTATTATTATTGAATTTATAAGGAGGGAAAATAATTTAAAAAAAAATTTATCAATAACATAACTTGAAAAGCAAACATTGCAAAAACAATAAATACAAATTTATCTGTACTTACTAGCTTTATAAATTCCAAATCAATAAAAAAAAAATTAAATAATAATAAATATCAATAAAAAAAAATAATCTTTAAAAATTAAATAATTTTTTATATTTAGTTTAGTGTTATCTTGCATAGCCATGACAGGAAAATAAATAGAAATATTATGATAAATATTTAAAAGAATAATTAGAATAATATAAACATAAAAACAAATAAAAAAAACTTTAATGTAACCCTTATCTAAATATAGATAACTACAATGACTTACCTTTACCAGCAAGCAGAGCTTCAAGGGCTTGTTGTACATTCCCATAAGTACGAACAGCTTGTTCTGAAAGAGGCTGAGCAAATCCCATATCAGTAAATATTTGAACACGAACTTTTAAAAGTTCATATTGGGCATCATCACAAACTGGATCAAGCGTAAGAACATGTTGAAAAACCTGCTCAGCTTCTTGAAACCTCTAAGAAACAAGTTATTTAAAAAGCATTAATGAAAATTATTCATTTAAAAACTTGTTCAGATTTATAAAACCTCTGACAAATAAGATAATTAAAAATCATTTAAATAAAGAAAATTATTCAAATAGAAAAACATTAAAAACAGCCAATAAAAACCTTAAGTCCAGTTAGAGCACGACCTTTTCGAAAGTATCCTTTAGGCCATTCTGGTGCAAGGCGTATAGCAGCATCTCCATCCTTTAATGCACTATAACATACAGTCTATAATATAGAATACTTGTAATTAATACTGTAAAAACATTTTATTTTACAAAGTGCATAAAAAAAACAATAATAACCATTGACTGCTTTTGTTGTTTCTAACTTACTTTTCATACTGTTCTAATCTGTCATAACAATATGATCGATTACCAAAAAATCTGTGAGAAAAATTGTAAAAACATATAAATGTTATATTATAAAAAATAAAATACTGGTAAAAAAAAGAGAATTTATGCTATATTGTAAACGATGTATAGACAATTCTGTTTAGTTTATATAAAAATATGAATTTTGATTTAATTTTCTTGTAATTTTAATTGTCTAACAACAATTCTTACAGCAAAACATCTGTGTTCAAACCATCTTGATTAAAAGATAAAAAATTATGTTAAAATCTTTAATTGAAAATAATTATAATTAGGAGGAAAGAAATTATCGGGGACATGTTATTTTTGTTCCAGTTCTGTTGTTTTTTTTATACATTTTTTATTCTATTACTATCAGATTTATTTTAATTTTTATTTTATTTCTATTTTTATTTATACATATTTAAATTTATTATTTTACTATAAAAATATATTTTTTATATTAATTTTTGTTATTTTTATTTATTTATTTTATATTATAATTCATTTTTAACTACATCTATTTACAAAAACGATTAATTACAATAATATAACCAAATTTAAACCTTGCCCTAACCCTAAGCCTGACCTTGATGCCTGGCCAAACCAAACCCTCAGTCGATGTAGCTGCACTCCCATGCGAGTCAGGCTATTTGTCAGTCGATGTATGTATTTTTTGTTCTCTATAAAAGTTTCTTACGAGTACATTTTTCTACAAAAAAAATCATGCTTACGGTGACAAAAAATTAATGAGTACGAGTATTAATTAAGTGTTCATTTTTTTGTAAAATCTGTCGTGGTAAGTGCTTAACTATACGAATATATATATATATATATATATATATATATATATATATATATATATCACACACACACACACACACACACACACACACACACACACACACACACACACACACACACACACACACACACACACACACACACACATATATATATATATACATATATATATATATTTATATATATATATATATATATGAACACAAACACAAATATATACAGCCCTCAGAATTAAAAAAAATAGGACTTTGAAATATTTTTGGTCAGCAAAAGGCTGGCACAAATTTAAATAAAAAATAACTTCACTGTAATAACCTAAAAATGAGGTCGACAAAAAATCACTAACCTCAAACACTTTTAGGTCAGTAATTTATTTTTTTTAATAATGCTTTTCAAAATAAAAGACTTGCTGCTAAGCTAATATTTTTAGAAGATTCTGGATTTTTATTTTATTCAAACATACTTGTTCAACAACCTAACAGTCTCATTTCATGAATTTCTGCTGTCTTGAAAACATTTAGTTATCCTAAACCATTGAACAATTAAAATCTTTGCAGAGCAATGCAATTTTTTGCCAAACTGCAATCAGCTAACCACTCTTGTGCTTAACTGCAATCAGCTAACCACTCTTGTGCTTAACTGAAAGCTTTTGGATTTTAAGGGCTGATAATAGAGGTACAAACTTTTATTTATAATATAAAAACAATGATATTAAATACCTGTGATCATTTGGATCTAATTGAATAGCTTTTGTAAACATAGCAACAGCTCCTTGGTAATCGCATGCATGAGCCATTTGGTTGCCTTTAACAGCAACTTGACGACTTTGTAATATTATTTGTTCATTATCTACTATAACTTCAGATTTTATGTCTCTATTTATAACTATTGGAATTGCATTATTAATATTATTATTATTACTTTCTGTAGAAGTCTTTGGCTCAGATTGTTCTATATTTACTGGAGATTGTTTTTTAATTTTTTTTGATTGCTGTTGTGGCTTTACTATATTATTTTTTTTTTTGTCTTTATTATCTTCTTTATTTATAGATGTTGCTAAAGTAACACTTGTCTGAACAGAAGGTGCCTTACTTGCAGCTCGAAGAAAAAAAGCACTAGTTGTATCTATGGCATCCTAAAATAAACAAAACAAATGTTATCAATAAAAACTATTTGTTCTCAAATTTAAAAAATGATTACAAAAAATTATAATTTAAATAAAAAAAAAAAATTGTTTAATACAAACAAAAGACTGATCACAAAAGAATGATCACATAAGACTGATCACTTAAGACTTAAAAACATAATGATTACCTCATCACCCTCAGAGTCCACAGTTTTACTATTCCTAAAGATAAAAAAACATTGTATTAAAAAATAAACTAAAAAAATAGTTTGTATAACAGCGTTTACTGAAATGAAAATATCTTATATACGACATAATAAGACATTAATGCAACATATATAAGAAAAAAAAATTCTACCTGTTTTTTCTTTCTGGATTCAAAATATTATTTTTATATTGTGGCAAATTGTAAGACTTTGTAGAACCATTTATTTTTTTATTATCATGATTTTTATTTTTTTTATTACTTTGTTCGTTTTCTGTAGTTGAACTTGGAGGATTTTTCTTTTTATTCCTATGATCGTCTTCTTTCAATGAATTTAAATGATTATTTTTTTTATCGTTACGCTCTTCATCTCTTAATGAACTAAGATGATTACTTTTTTTATTACTATTTTCGTCTTCCTTTAGTGAACTAACATGACTGTTCTTATTATTACTAGATTTTTCTTCCTTTGATAAATTTGAATTATTTTTTTTATCAATAAGTTCATCCTTCTTTGAATTATGATTACTCTTTTTTTTATTACGTTCGTCTTCCTTACGTGATAATAAATTATTTTTATTGATATTTTCATTTTCTGTTGATTGATTATTATTTTTATTTTTAATGTCTTCTATAGATTCAACAGACAAACTATTAGTTGAAAAATCCATTGAAAGAATTTTATTGTCTTCTTTATTTATATGAAATTTATTAGTAGGACTATTGGTAGTGGTATCAGCTAATGACTAAAAGAGGGAAATGTAAAAAAAACATTTTTTTTTTTAATTACTGCTAATAATGCCGTTATGTCATTTTGTTAACGATACAAAATGTTTTTAGAAAATTGCAACTCAATAACATACCTTATGATTTTCTAAAATAACTTCTTGTTCTTTTTTCACTTTTTCTTTCAGCTTTTTTTTTTCTTTCTTCTTCTGAATTGAAATTTTGCATTAAAAAAAAGTAACAAATAATTAACAAAAAATTTATATAATATAAAAACCTTTCGTTTTGTTTTCTTTTTTTCCTCTCTTCTTTTTTCTAATTCTTCTTCTGCTATTAACTCCCGCGCATTCTTCAAAGCCTCTTCTTCTGTAACTCTCCATTGTGTTTGTATTGTGTCCTTTGTCATATATTTTCGTGCTTCATATTTATGCCTTAACCTGAATATCATAATAACTATATATATATATATATAACAATTTTAATAAGGTAGGGGGTTGGGGACAGGGTGGATTTGCGTTAGTACAAAATTGTATCTTTTGTACATTAGTTTGTAATTGCTACTTTTTAAACATAATTTCTCTCATATTTAAATAATATCTCATAATAATTGTTTTCACTTAGCATAATATATAAAACAGTAAAAGTAAAAATGCAAATACTACAATATTTAAATGACTTTTAACAGTTATTAACTGTTAACTAATTAACTATACAACAATTTTTAAATATTATTCAATGCTGACGATAAAATACACTTTACTTTTAAAGAGTATTTCATTTTTATTGTAGAAAGCATTATAAAACAACAGTAAAACAATACTGAAAAGTTATTTTTGTCGGTTTATAACATTGATAACATAAAATGCGATAACATAAAACAAAACAAAGTAAATAAACACAATTATTCAAGTTAATTAATTAGAATTGACGAAAACATTTTTGTCATAAAACTTTAACAAAAATGATTTTAATGTTGACAACTTGATCAAGACTGTTTACATGTTTTGATGATTTGAACATTTCAGAAATGCGCTGAAAAAAGAAATGCTAAGCTAAATTTAAAATAGGAAAAAAATTTTAAAAGACTAAAGAATAAAGAAAACAATTCTTTAGGAAAAAAAAAAAATATTAGCAAAAATTACTGTTTGTTACATTTTTAATTGTGTTTGAAATAAATTACTTTAAAACTTATCTTTTGAAACATTTTATTATAAAGTTACACATAGTTTCAAACGTTTAAATTTATCATAAAAATACATGTCTATTAAAAAAAAAATCATAAATATAGCATTTAATTTACACAAAATGTGTTTATTTTAAATGATCATCATAACTAGTTTTTTATTTAATTTAAAGCCTTCACGTAAAATAAAAACTGTTCACTAAAATCTATAAAAAAAAAAAAAAGATAAACAGTTAAAATTTATTCGTAATGTAACAAATTTTTTATTGTATTTAAATTGTTAAAACATCAAAACAGCAGTGGTCAAAAAGTTATAAGTATGGTAAGTTACAGGATACGATCACATGCCATTCCTGTCTGAGCCTGCTGTAGCATATATAGATATAGATTTATTGACTTTTTTACTTATCTAATTACAACTAAATTTTTATTTGTCAAGTTTTGCTTTTTTAAACATCTTAACTTCCAACAATTTTAAACATCAACACCAACTTCAAACAACATAACTCTAATAAACTATTAGACAACCACTATTAGAGTTAAGAGTTACTTATTTGAATGATGAGTAACACAAAAATGAATTTTAGCAGATCGTACAAATGATGCTAGCTTATTAAAGCAGCACCTGTTATACCATTCATAGAAAAGAGAAGCAACATTACAACAATGTGACAATGGTTAAAGGTTGGCTGCAAAAGAAGGTCCAACTATGTTTACATAGCATTGTTGCACATTCTTTAAAAGAGAAAGGCTATCATACGAAGATCCACTCCAGATATGGTAACAGTATTCCATACAAAGTCGGATTAGAGATTTATAGAGATAAAGAATAGAATCCAGAGTAAGAATAAACGGTAAAGAGATACAAACTTGAAATTTGATGTATGGTCCACTCCAGTTTCTGTATCACTTTAGATACAGAAACTGAAGTGATATGAATATCAAAAAAATGCATCAACCTGTTTGTCAGCTATATCAGTTAGGATGTGATTAGTGGAATCAAGAGATGAGATTGATGAAAAATTCCAAGCAAACAATTGAGCTTTGTCTTTAGGTGAGGTGACAATATTTAAATCATACAAGAGAGGTGGAATAACAGATTGACCTATATTATAGACACTGTTAAAAATTCTCTCTAAGTCTTGGATTTTTGAGATAAAATAAGAGATTTTGTGACCTGAGAATAAAGTGGGATTTGGTGTTAGACAAAACCTTTTTATAATGGTTTCTAGCAATAGTAAACAGACATATGAAAAATGAGTTGAAAGTTATTTTGATTAAAATAGTTTAATAGATAAGTGGTTCTCAGGCTTCGGCAGGAGTAAATAAATGCACAAGCTATAAATAGCTATAAAAAGACAAAAAAACAACTTGCAAAAATAAAAAAAAAAACACACCCCACAAATTGAGTTTATTCCAGATATAGTCAAACAAATAATTTGCAAGCAACGCAAAAAATGGCAGAAAAACAATTTTCGCAACCATCACATTTCTTTATTCAAGCATCTTGATGTTTTCTTAAAATTTTTTGCAATGAACATAGCAATTTTACAAGATCTATTTGAGAATTAGTTTATTGACTTAATAAAATAATGGAATAAAATATAACATTTTTTATTGCACTTCTTTAGTTGATTCATTTTTCTTGTACATTGTAAATTAAATTAAACTTTAAAAATTTAACTGTGATATCTTTAAGCTATAAAGATATGGTGACAATTATATTGAAATCTTTTTTTAAATAAACTTTGAATCAAAGACTTCTATTCTTTTACAACTTTCAACTGTTTAGACTAAAACTTTAATTATTACTATCGTTTTCGTTCAATTTACTATCACACTCATTTCTCAACTCGTAATTGATTTTATATTCTTTTCGGAAGTTAGGAGAAAATATGTTATGTTGATGTGATATTTAAGTTAAAATTTGAGGTAACCTAATTTTTAATTTCTAAGAGACTTAGTACAAACAGACATTTTAAGATTCTGGTATATATGCTTCTTAAATATATTTTTCTTATATAATATAGGCATGTATAAAAAAAAAGGGTTATATGAATTTAAACAAATCTTTTTTACATTTTTTTATGAATAGAACCAATAGAAGGGTATTAAATGCAATATTATTTTATATAACAAATTAATTGCTGTAAAATATATTTAAATGTATTAAATATAGTGCAAGTATAAAAACGAAAAAAAAAAAAATTCTGAGTCTTTGGTCTGACATGAGCATTGCCAGAAGACTAAAGGCTCATTCTACTGATGAGTTCGACCCAGATAAGCATATGAATAACTCAATAACTTTATATCAGACACTCAATTTATACTATAAAAATCGATTAGCAGTCTGTTGATTATAAATGAGATTTTTGACTTTTAATAAAAAGCTTTATATTAAATAAATATTATATTAAATAAATGTTAAATAAACTGCTGCCATTTTCAAAAAAATCCAGGAAGTTAATGCGGAAGTATATAGGGAAATATGCACTACTTTAAGCAACTTTAAAGTATGACAAACTAGTTTATCAATCAAATAACATAAATGTGCAAATAAACAAAAAAAAATTGTCTAACAGTTCTTATTGCATTAGTGTACAAACTTCCTAAGAATACTGAAAACCCAGATTATTATATTGAATTCTTTTGCAACACATGCATATTTTGTCTGCTTTTTAATATACTAATTACTTCTCTTTTAACATAACACAGAATATTACGGAACAGTTATAGCTGTTTGAAAAAACTTGTTCTGTTTTTATTTTTCATCTTTTCATCAACATATAAAAAAATTGTTTTTTTCATAATTTTTTTAGAATATCCTTTATGAAATAGTTTTGTTTTTTAACTAGTAAAACAAACAGATTTACAAAATTACATCATTTGAGAAGTTTTTAAAAGAATAACTTAATAAAAATATAAAAATATTTAATTTTATTTTTACTAAAAATTTATATTTTGCACAGACTTTATTTTGCCTGTGTAAACTGATTTGCACGGGTGTGGAGGCAGGCACGATAAAAAAAGCAGTATGAACAATTTTGATTTTGTGCTAACTTAAATACAAAACTTGAAGTTTTTAAAAAATAACAAATAACCAATAATGTGTTATTTTACAATACCGAACTTAATGCTGCAGCTGTTATTTATTTATGTGCTTTTGACACAGAACTCATGGCGGCCATCACACCCAAGAAAGAGTCACAGCACTTTTTTAATAAGAAAATGTGAACAAAAGTGTACGAAAATATTTATGTAATGTTACAAATTTATATTAAGTTTTACAGTTTTACTTTTAATTGAAAAATGCAATATCTCCTTAATTTTAATTTATAGCATTTATTTGCTAAAGTTATAGTTTTTATTAAGTTATATATTAGTTACATACTTTATAAATATTAGCGTAGTGTAAAAGTTACATATTTTATTAATATATACTATTTTATAGCTTTTTGCCTAATAAGTATTGTTAAACTGTTTGCAGCGTTTCACAGGAAGACGCGCGATTACAGGCAATTATATGACCACTCAAAAACCTTGCTTTGACAATTTGACCACGCCTTTTAACATGTTTTTAAAATTTAAAAATGTGTTAAAAAAATTTCCTCAAAATTATCTAAAAAAAAGTTTACTTCAAAAAAGAAAAAAAAATCTTAATGAAAGAGAAAATAAATCATAACGCATTAAAAAACCATTACATTCTTTGTTTTAATGTTTGTACTATGTTTTTTTAATTAAATTTGTTTCAAAATATTAACATTTATCATAAAAAATACATATTAATACAAATAAAAAAATAAAAAAACCATTTATTAATACTTAATATAAAAATTCATTAGAAGTGTCTTGTTACTTTATTAAAAAGCGTTTCAATAATATAAAAAACATTAAAGATAAAATTTATTTAATTGTAAGAAAAAAATTTGTCTTTTATTTTCAACAAAATTTTTTTTTATTTTTTTAAATAAATTTTTTTATTTTTTTAACTTCAATGATTCTTATATTAGAATTCGTTAAAAAGACTTACGCTGTCTTAGAAAGTCATTGTATATAAAAACAAAATAATTTTTTATTTTTTAATAACGTTTATTATTAAAAATGCATACTTAAATAACTTATACAATATAAATTTAAAAATTTATATACAACTGTCAATAATACTTTAAAAAAAAAATCATTATCAGTAACTTTACTTTATTTTAAAGGGTTTAGCTAACAATATAAAACATTTACAGCAAACATTTAACAAAATTAAATAAAATTTTATTTATTAATATAAGTTTATTAATAATATGACATTGTATAATAAATACAAATTAATTATGAGAAAAAATGTTAATTTAATTTAGTAAAGCATTTGCTAAAAACCATATGTATAATAATAAAAGTTTTTTATTTAGTTTCAAAAAAAATGTTTTTCTAAAAACGCTGTGTTTTGATCAGAATAGTTTGCTTATCGTTAAAAACAAAATAATCACTATTCAAATATTTTTAATTGCGTTTTTGGCAGTCGAAGTAAAACATTTAAAAAACTTGTTTTCATAATGTTAACCTAAAATGTTTTTTGGCTAAAATTTAACTAAACTTAAAAAGCTATTGTTATTAAAATTATAAATTCATTTGAGGAAAAGAAAAGTTTAAGCTTGTGAAAACATTTGCTAAAAAAGTTGTAAAAGTTCTATTAGCGTTAGCAATGAAAAAACATTGAATATGTTTTAACGAAAAGAAATCCTTATTTCATCGTTTTAATGTTTTAATGATGCGAAAACATTATGAATTTATATTTTAATTAAACTAATGAAACAATGAAAAAAATGAAAGCTTATAAATTTCTTTCAAATAAATTTGATGTAATAATAAAAAAAAATTGATTGTAGTATTAAGTTCAAGATGAAGACAATAACAAAGAAAATACATAAAAGATAAATTTATTCTTTAAAACAAGATCATTAACAACAAGGTAGAAAATAAAAACACAATCAGATGTGATCAAATAATAAATAAGTATTTAGAAAGTCGAAAGAATTTTAAACGTTTTCTCAGGCAGTGCGCTGCTAAATAATAATTTTAAAATATTTATCGTCTAAAAAACGCTGTTTAACAAATTAAAACTTAATAGAATTGTGTGGAACACCAATCCAGGCCTTGCGATAAAGCGTCGGGCGATGTGAATTTTACGTCGTCCAAGGGCGATTTTGCGTGTAGCTAGGGCTATTTGCGTCGAGCAAAAAATTTTATGTTTGAGTATATTTAAAGATATTTTTGAGCGGAATTTTAATGAAGTAATTTACGATTAAATAAAGTATTTTAAAAACCGCACGCAGTTGATCTAAAAGTTTGAATTACAAAATAATAAATATGCTCATTAGTTACAAGTAGAAAAAATTCAGATTAAAAAAAAGTTTAAATCTTTTTAAGCTAGCATTTTAATAAAATTAATCAGCAATAGCAAAGTTGTCAATAAAATTGAACAAAAATACTTTCTTTTAGTTTTAGATTTTTAACTTAAATAATTATTTTACGGGGGTTTGTTAGGTTTTAAAATTATTCCATAGATTTAAAAATATTTATTAACTGTTAGACGAATTTAAAGTATTTAAGAGTAATTTCGAGGAAACATTTTAAAAATTGGTAATAAATAAAAAAATAAAAGGATTAATATTAAAACGTATTCTACTTGATTCAATAAAAAAGTACAGTTATTAAAATTTTTGTAAAAAGGTTAGTCGAAAAAAATTACTTTATTAATAACAATTGCATTTTTGTTAAAAGTTATCGAAACTCAACGAAGCGTGCTCAAGAACAGCTGCTGAAAAATAGAACGTCAATAGTTTTTCGAATAATTTTTAATAATAATTTTTAGGAATAATTTTTTCGCTGAAATATTTCTTTTATACCTAAAAGATTTTTATTCTAACATTTTATTTTATTTACCAAAAATAAAATTTCTTGTAAACATTAAAAATCTATTCAAAACGTTCATTAAAGTTTTTTAATAATACGAGTGATTGTGCTTATCAACCGCTTTATGAAAATAAATTAAAATAAATAAATAAAAAAATATTATATAAAATCGCTAGTAAAAATATTAGCAATTGCACAGTTTTTAATCGTACATTATAAAATTTCCAGTTTATTACTCTCTGACTTATTAAAAAGAAAAAATAATTATTTGAAAAACTTATGTTTTTTATTCCTTTAGTATAGACAAAACGTGTCAAACGTCGAGAAAATAAACAAATGTTTTTACATTTTAAAAAATGAAACATTCCAAAACATTTTTAAATAATAACATTTCTACATTAATGATTTAAAGAAGTTTTGCGGTAATTAAGTAAATTGGTGCAGTTAATTTCGATAAATACGAAAAGCAAATAAAAAGAATTTAATGACGTCAAAAATCACGTCGTGCTTATGCGTCGCGCAGTTCTTATTCATCCCAAGGCCTGCCAATCCATATTATATATATCCATATATATACCAACATATGTTGGTATATCCATATATATATTAACATATCCAAAAATAAAAAGATCGCTCCCGATAACTTAATAACGAGAGTGCATAATCGCGCTCGCTAAAAAATATTTGAGTTTTACAAGTGCAAAACATTGCGCTGGACAATTTTCTTCATGCCAAGGTCTGAGATATTATATACATAACTTTATTTTTCTTCATGCCAAGGCCTGAGAAATCATATACATATACTTTCTTTTTATATAGAATATAGTAAAGATACTATATTCTATATAAAAAGAAAGAGAGAAAATTAAAAAAAAAAGCTTAAAGTTCTCAAAACATTGAGAGAAATTTGTTGCACATAATTCATGATAGAGATATTTTCGTTATTAACGCTAACCTTATTAGTTGAGTCTGCACATTTAACACACATTAAAGAGAAACCCTTTTTTTTATAGGAAAAAAGACTTTAGATTCAAACTTTTATCAAATAAATGAAAAACATTATTACAAACTTTACACGACATCTTACAAAGAGTTTATTATTTTATAATAAAAAAAAAATACTTCTTTCATAGATATAACTCTATTATTAAATTTTTTGCTTGAATTTACACTTTAAACAATATAACTTTTGCAATGTTTTCATCATTTATATTTATAAATTTTATTTTGGGAAAAAATAATAGTTTAGATTTATTAGATTAATATTTTATAATAGTTACATCAGCTTTATATAATTAACAGATATGTGCAATATCAAAAAAGTAAAAATGGAAATTTCCTTATAATTTAGAAAGAATTTTGATTTAAAAAATTTTTAAATCTAAAAAAATTAGATTTTTTTTCCCTCAGTTTTTCTTCCTCCTTTTTAATTTTTTACAAAAAATTAAATTTCTTGTAAACATGTTTAAACTTATAACACTGCATCAAAAATATTCATAAAATATACTTTAACTTTTTTGCTTTAAGGCAAGTGAAAGCACAATGGTATAAAAATTTTAAAGGGACTACCAAGTCCTGAGACATGTTGTGTTCATAATAAAGAAAATGTTAAAAAAAAACGTCTGAGCAAATTTTTTTTTGATTAAAACTAATTAATAAATGTATACCAAGAAAAACAAATCTTGTTGTTTTAGTCGAAGCTCGTCTTCTCCATTATCTGCAGTATTTTGAGTATGTAAAATAAACGCAATTTTCCAGGCGCATTATACAGACTTGATAATTTATTCAAACGCGTTTAATTCATAGGAGTTTTAGAGCATGACGTCATTGGAAACATTCTTTAAAATTTTTTAAAGAACTTCTTTAGAAATTCTTTAAAAATTTTAATATTAAATTTTACTAAAATAGCTAACTATAGTTACTTATTTTATTAAAAGTTTATTTTATTAATTGTTCGTTAGTTTTTTACAAATCTAACGAACAATTAATCAAACCAAGCACTAAGAAAAGATATAAAAATTAAGAATATACTAATAAAATATATAATTTGTAATTAACTTTCAAAATTTTGACAATTTAAAAAATATATATTATAAAACATTTATTTTTGTAAACAAATGATAATAGTTTAAAAGTTTTACGGCTTTACAGATGTGGCTCCGAGAATGAGCCATAATATTAAAGTAATAGTTCATTTGATAATATATTCTTAAAAAATTTATGCAAGATATCTCAAAACGCAACAAATGGTAAATAATACAATTCCTAAAACATTTCAACAGAACACTCTAGAACTTTATTTCGCTTAGTCAGCGTATTTTTTGAACCAATAGAATTAGTTTGTTCGCAAATTTGACGGGTTTTTAGTGTTCGCAAATATTCTTTTTATTCTTCCGCAAGATGTCTTAAGAACATCCAAGTTAATTATGTTTCCATGTATGTCTGTAAAATAAAAATTAATATATATTAATTTTTTAATTTTTAAGCCCTCGCCATAATATATATCGGATGTTATAATAATGGAAATATAAATAATGAAATAAGATCACCTCAATACCAAAAAATACATTTTTGAAAATCAGAAAAAAAATGCGTTAATAAATTTTTTTAAAATATTTACAAAGTAAATTAATAAAAGTGCATTATTATTTAGGTTAAAAATTATTTTATCTAATATTTTGAAAGAAAAACTTATAACAAAAGAAATCAAAATACACATGGTCTAGACGATTATTTTACATACTCAAAATACCGCAGAAAATGGAGAAGACAAGCTTCGACTAAAACAACAAGATTTGTTTTTCTTGGTATACATTTATTTATTAATTTTAATCAAAAAAATTTGCTCAGATGTTTTTTTTTAACATTCTCTTTAATATGAGCACAACATGTCTCGGGACTTGGTAGTCCCTTTAATAAGTGGTACAAAAAAACTTAAATTTTTGTCACAAGAAAAAAGTGCTGGTAAAGTAATTAATTTACCAATTTAAAAAAACTTATTTTATTCTTACATTTTAACAGTTTGTTTTGATTATTCACATATTCAAAACAATTTAGGATGACATTTGAACTAAACATAAAAAAAAAACAATTTAGGTTGACATTTAACTAGACTTAAGGGAAAACTTCTTTTTTTTTGTAATGTAGTTTGTTCTAAAGTAAAGAAATTCCTTCCAAATACAGTGCAAATTAACAGTAGTATTTTACAATAACATTGTCAAATTGATTTTTTTTGAAGTATTAAACTTTCACATGATCTAAAAATTGGAGCTTAAGTGTTGCAGAAGACACAAAAACTCTTCATTTACTACTTAATTTAAACATATACTGTATTTCAAACCTGTGTGCAATATCTAGAGATTCAGGTTCACTTTCATCATCAGTATATCCATAATATTCTTCATCACTATAATAATAATCACCGCCAACATCACAATCACAACAATTTATAGCATGATGAGGATATCGACAACCACCTAAAAAATTTAAAAGTTATTATATTATAATCATAACTATTTATTTATTTATGTATAATACTATTATGTATATCATTTACAATAATGTGAAAAAAATACATTCAAAAAAGAAGCATGACATTAAGAATCTCCAAATCACTACACACCATTTTGAAAGAAGATGTTAGCAAAGAGTTCCATCATTTCAGCCTATGATAAATTCAAAACAATGATGCAAACAAATGGTTTCAAATATTAAATACATTATTTAAATTATCAATCAATAAGATATTCTTTTTAATAAAAAAAAAAATTAGTTTATAAGTTAAAAATAGTATACAAGCTCTATTTTGATGGAGAGATGTTTACTGGGACTGGGGCTTAATGGAGAAATGTATACTAAGGCTTGATGGAGAAATGTATACTGGGGGACTTAATATTGAAACGAGATGTTTACTGGGGCTTAATGGAGATGCTTTCAATGGGGCCTAATGGAGAAATATATACAATGATTCCAAATAGGATTGCAATTAATAACCAGTTTATTATTTTTTTCAATAGATAAACTTTAGCAATAATAATGTTAAACACCTAACTATAGCCAGAGGCAAAAAACATTCATTGATGTTTTGTGATTACTTTCTTAAAACGAATAAGAATTAGGAAGTACCAATACCTTTTAAAAAAGCATTTATACAAAAATAGTCAGCTTTAGATAAAATAATTTTTACTCCTAAAATATATACATGTGTGTTTTCGTGTTCCACAGCAGAAAAAGTTAAAGTAATCAATTTTTAATCTCTTTTTTGTCAATCATTAACAGATGGGTATTGAAGAAGACATGAAAGTTTATTAAAAATATTTTTTAACAATAAAGTTACTTCATCATAGTTTCTATTATGGTTTTGAAAGTCATCCATTTCTAATGTCCCATGTTAAAAAATACATCATTTTAAAACTTTTCGTGAATTGAATTGCATAATCTGATTTATTTTACTCTGGAAATGATTTTCAAGTTATTGTTGGTAAAATATTTTACTTTTTTATAATGAAACATTTTCAAGTTATTGTTGGTAAAATATTTTACTTTTTTATAATGAAACATTTTCAAGTTATTGTTGGTAAAATATTTTACTTTTTTATAATGAAACATTTTCAAGTTATTGTTGGTAAAATATTTTACTTTTTTATAATGAAAAATTTTCAAGTTATTGTTGGTAAAATATTTTACTTTTTTATAATGAAACATTTTCAAGTTATTGTTGGTAAAATATTTTACTTTTTTATAATGAAACATTTTCAAGTTATTGTTGGTAAAATATTTTACTTTTTTATAATAAAAACTTCAAGAAAGTAACATAAGAACTTTTGTAATTTTCATGCAATGTGAGTTAAAAAATAAACGATAAAATTATGTTTTTCCGAAAGTTTTCTTAAAAAACCAAAAAAAATATTTTATTAATATGTGTGTTAATATTAAATCATATGTTTTTGCATTTAAAGCTTTGAATAGAGGTGCTTAATTAAAGCACATAATTTTGAATTTGTGTGATGTAAGTTAAAACTTACATTAAATTGTTTTTGATTCAATAACTTTTATAAACTTTGATGACAAAATTTGATAAAAAAACCTCTAAGAGAGCAACCAATTATTTGTATAAACTTTGAATAAATGGAACTTTAATTCTAATTCTTTAGTTTCATAACTTAAAAAATAAGATGCTCCACCACCATACTACTGATACTACTTTTAAACAAAGACTTCTAACGATTGTTAATAAACATTTTATATATATATATATATATATATATATATATATATATATATATATATATATATATTAAAATGTTGATAATTTAAGGCAATTTAAATAAATGACACTATTAAAACTACTGGGTGTTTAAATAATGTAAATCCTATTTTAAAGGAAGTTCTTTTGGAAAAAAAAGAACAGTTTTTCTGAGTTTTTAGAGGTGCGTATCTCAATAAGACCAATAGCTTTTTATTTTGTCTTGGAAATTGACTAATATTAACTTGTATGCCATAAATAGGAAAATACATGGCATTAAATATAAAGACATGAAAATAATTTTCCAGTCATTCAATCAATGCATAATGCGCAATAGCTACACATGATTTTACTGAACTTACTAATGACCTAATATGGTTTTGGCAACTTTTTAATCTGTCACAAGCAATATACTGATTTTTTGTAAATTATCAGCTTATCAATTTTTTGTTGCAGAGATACAAGCTGATTTTGGTGGAAATCTTCATCCTCAACCGTGAGATTATTAAAATCGCACAATAACGTAAGTGATATTATGTAAGCTAAATACATAGTGTCAAAATAACCTGTTTATTTTCCCAAGTAGGTAACTTCTATGGTACTTTTTATTTGTAAAAAAATAATGAATTCACAACATTGTGTTAAAAGTTTCAATACAATTCATAATACCAATTCCCAGAAAATCTGATCCAACCCTCAGAATTAGGAAAAATGAGGTTGGCAAATGCCGAACGTAATTCCAAGGGTTGATAATCTAAAATTAAAAATTTTTTAATTTTAGATTATCAACCCTTTCTAAAATTAAAAATTTTTTAGTTTATTTTATTCTTCAAATGAACATCTTTAATACATAATTGCTATAAATTAAGTAAACAGTGATAAAGTTGTTGCACGTGTAATTAAGTTAAATGTGGAACACACTATATATATACACATAAATAGGCTTTTTATGAAATGCTCCTCTAAGCCAGTTAACACAACCAAAAGCTTGATCCTGCAAAAATAAAAAAAACCTAAGAAATTTTTTTAAAATACTTAAATATTTTAAAGTTTTTTTAAATTGTAGTTATAAACTTCAGCAGAAGTAAATAATTTTGTATTTGATAAATAAAAATTATAAAAATGTTATTTTTAAAATGAAAAATTATAAAAATGTTATTTTTATTCAGAGCATTTGCAAGACAAATAGTAGTTAATATCAAAAAAAAAAATTTTTTCTTAAGATTACATTTTAAAACATCTTCACATTTATATCACATCTATTGCTTTTTAGAAGATTAAAATTCTGCTTATAGAAGATTAAAATTCTGCTTAAATTTGAATAGGCATGTTTGATACTTTAATCCAATGTATTTGCATAAGACATTAGATTTAAATAAAGTTTTTTCAAAAAACTTTGAGAAATTATAATAAACATGTAAGGTGGTAAATGAATAATAGTTATGTAAGGTTGTAGATATTATATTTTATTTTTTATGTTTATATTACAAAGAAAAAATGAAAACAATATGTATGATACAACCCTCGGAATTAGGAAAAATGAGGTCGACAATAATTTGCCGACCTTAATCTTCTTGAGGTCGGCATCAGGTCAGCAAAAATTATTTGATAAAAAGGTCTGACCATTAAACATAGAAAGAGGTCGACAATTATTTGCTGACCTCAAGCACTTTCAGGCTAGCAGTTAGGTCGGCATTGCCAAATGCTGACCTTAATTCCGAGGGTTGATGATAGTTACTTCAACATAAAAAGACATAAGTAGATAAAAAGGTTATGTTGCATAAATACAAGTTTTTAATGCAGATAAATGTTTTTATTATAGCTTTTTCACATGAACTTAATAAAACCACACAAAATCTAATCCCTTCATATAACTTATTAGCATAAAATTTTATGATATATTATAATCTTTGCAAACAACTACCATGGTCTTCAGTAACTGTTTAAATAACTGGAAAAAAAAGACCATCATTTAATAACTGCTTATTAAATGATGGTCTTTTAAAAAATATATCTTAAAATAAATAAATATTCTAGGCAAAAAAAAGCAAACATTACAAAGTTTTTCTTCTCAAAAATCCTTATTTATTTATGCACAGCAAATATCTGGTTTGAATAAATGAACTTACTGCAGAGTTTTTCAGGAGATTTAAAAAGATTAGATTTGGTTTCCCTTATTGGTTTTCCCATAAGATTGAGTTTTACCCTTTTATAAAAGACGTGCTACATTAAACATTTTAGTTCAGCTGGAGATTTTTAACAAAATAAAAATTGTAAATAAATGAAGATTACTGCTTTTCTACTTTGCTTTATTTTTATTTCCATTAAAATACTTTGTTTTCAGTTACCGTGACATCAAATGTAATTTCACCATTTCTTAATAAATCCAACAAAAAAAAGTATTTTTGGTTCTAAGATTTTATTAGCAAAACTTGTTTTTCAGTATGATTTTTAAATTTACATATTTTATATTTATAGCACTATTAGTTTCATTTTTAAAATAAAATAAAAATAAGTTCGACTTTTAAAGCATTTACTTATTGATCATGTTATTTCTATTCGGTTATTATACATTTTATCAAAGGTTTTACGTAAAGGCATTCTTCTACATAAAAATTAATTGTAAAAGTAAAAATCCAAACATAATGCTTATAACTCGAGTTTAAGGATTATTTATGATATGAACACATGTCTTGGCACTTGGGGACCACTTTAACATCCTGAATTTTTTATTATGAATTTTCATTATTTCAAAATGAATTATGCTGATTGCCTGCCATTTTTCGAAACTTTAGCAATATACAGCAAAAACTTTGTTGGCTATGATAATATATTACTTTTTTTATCTTATCAAAAAGAAGTGAAAACTGTGTATTACTTAACATTAAAATCAATGTTAAGACACAATAAGTGCTCCAGTAATAAATGGAAGCTAATAAGGTTATGCAGTTAGGTCAGCATTGCCAAATGTTGAACCTAATTTTGAGGGCTGGTAATATTTGCAATACTTTATTCATACTGACCAAACTTTTAAACTCAGCATTAATTTTATGAATTTTTATTTAAACAAATTTTTTGATTCATTTTTTTCATGTTAACATAAAAGTTCTAATGTTAATATTAAAGATAATGTTTGATGATTTTTTATAACTTTAATATATTAATGATGAAGATGAGCCAGAAAATACCAACTATTAGCATAAAAATTAAATTTGGAAATTTTTAAGAACAATGTGTTGCATTGATTTTGCATGAGAAAGTTTGATATTTTCATATATGAGTTGTAAAGATATTGCAATTAATAAGAAATTGCAATTAATACTCTTGCCTCATTAAGTCGAGCAATTTACTTGATTAAAACACCATCAAAGCTGTTGATTAAAGTTGAAAGCAAAAGTTTCTGAAGAGAACTCAACCAGC